GTTGCTGCCCCGGAAAAACAAACTGTATCCACTGTTTACATAACGCTGGGTTCTTTAGGAAGCTGAACAAAGTTATCTTTCCCTTACAACCAAAAACACACTTCTTTGGATTGGAGACATTCTTCCCGAGCGAGTCCCGTGCAGCGCTGCCGCCGGATGAAGTGCGTTTAGGGGAGCGATCTCGCTCTTGCTCTGGTCAATGCGTGCGCGGGCGCGTTCTTCCGGGAGAAATGCCCATATAAGGAGTTCAACCCTCGTTTACGTCATGAAGAGCCACAATCGAAAAAAAACTCTCCGAAACTTGTACGAACCCGGAAGTAAGATTTTTGGCACAGAAATACTCTGTCATACGTCCAAATTGTTTTTTGAAACTTTGTCCATGCTTAGCATGAGAATCCAACTCTTTAACAGTGTAAACAACTCTGAATGCATGAAACAGCATTGTACCCCCCCTTTAATTTAACACAAATAATTGGATTTGGACTGACAGTCTGAACAAGGCTTAACTGTTTCCAAACGAGTTTCCATATTGGTCTGCCATCTTCCATTGTTCTAAGAAACGTGTAGTCCTGCCCAGACTTACACCACTGACATATCCGACCGCTCCAACAAACAGAGCATTGTTCTGAAGTGCCACAGGCCACATCTGTCTTAAATGGTGTACTTGATGTAGACTTGTGGTCTTGTGGCCTTCAATTGCAAGTGTCCATGAAGTCCACTAGATCATAGTATCCTATTTGTCACGAATCGGAAGAGTGATCCAGAGTGCCTCTTCATGGCTTCAGTGTGTCCTTTTGCAGAGCTTGCACTGGAGATGATCTTTCTATGTCGCATTATGTCACTCGAATAAGGACCACAAGGGCTGAGGCTGGTATTTAGGACCATCTCAAACTCTTAAGGAATTCAACCAATTCATAGTTTACAGAGAGTTGTTAAAATGGGACAGGAGAAAATATTATAACATAGCGCTGAAAAACTTTTAAGAAAATATCTTAGACTGTTATGATGCAGAACTAAACTTGGCAAGATCATTTGCAAATAAATGAGTGTTACACCAGAAGATATTATTGATGATATTCCTGAAATGAGAAACAGGAGCAGTATGTTATTGTTGCATTGGCGCTAGTCATTTACTGCTCAGAAACTGGGTCACTGGCCTTGTTTTGATGGTTCATCAGTTCTGTTTAATTTTCTTTGCAGGAGGACGTGTAAAAACTTGGAAGAGAAGATGGTTTATTCTGACCGACAACTGCCTGTACTATTTTGAGTACACAACAGTAAGGAGTTTTCGTTATTGTTGTGTTGTTAAGGACGTCTTTTCTGGGGTGTACTGTACACCAGGGGTCTCAATCCTGTTCTGGAGATCTACATACCTGCAGAGTCCAGTTCCAACCCTGATCCAACACACCTGTCTGTAATCATCAAGTGCTCCAGAAGATCCTAATTAGCTGGTTCAGTTGTGTTTGATCAGGGTTGGAGCTGAACTTTGCAGGAAGGTAGATCTCCAGGAACAGGATTTGGCACACTTGGTTGAGGGGTTATTCTCATCCCAGATGCATTTTGATGGGTTTCTCCTGCCTACAGGACAAGGAACCACGTGGAATTATTCCTCTGGAGAACCTCAGCATCAGAGAGGTGGAGGAGCCCCGGAAACCTGTGAGTGCCCAAACAAACTCGAAGGTTAGAGCTGTACGGGATCATGAAAACATCATGCCTTACAGCATGTTATGTCTCCTCATGTAGAACTGCTTCGAGTTGTACAATCCCAACCATAAAGGGCAGGTGATCAAGGCGTGTAAGACAGAGGCAGATGGGAGGGTGGTGGAGGGAAACCACGTCGTCTACAGGATATCAGCACCCACACCAGAGGAGAAGGAGGAATGGATCAAATCCATTAAGTAGGATTTCCTTCCTATTGAACATATTCTAATCATTAAATAGTCTTGTTCAGTGCTCTCATCACTGGCTTTCGCCCACTTGCTGAAGAAATACAGTGATGACATTACACATAATGTTCCTCTCACACTAAACCTGACCCTAAACCTAATCAATAGTGTTAACTAGGGCTGTCAAAAAAAATCGAATTTAAAATGAAAATCCACATTCGAATGAAAAAACGTTGCATTTTAATTTTAGGTGTGCATCAGACAGCCTTATTAGCGGCGCACGAGATGCGATGACGATGTAGGTGTCACTGCATTATAATGTTTTTGTTAGCCTATCCAGTTGAACCCACTAGATGCAGCGCTGCTACGTTGTTCATTCAAAATATTGAGGAAAAAGAGAACATCAATGCAGAGAAGATCTTGTTTACATCAAAACTAAAACCAAGCCGTTCACACAGAACACATATTTCGTGCATTTTCTAGAGGGACATCTATCACCGTTGCACTCGCATCTTGCACAAAAGAGCCGCATGTTTAGAAAGCCATGTAAAATTAATGCAAGTTTAACTTTGAAAAAACATATCTCGAGACTTTATGGCGGGTTTTTTCTCCCACCCCACTGCAACTCATGTTTTTAAATGAAATGTACTGACATGTACTGAAATGTAAATGTACTCTGTGTGATTTTGGTCCTTTGTATTAAATATGCATACATACATGATGCTGTTTTGTTTATAGTTGTTTAAGCAACTTAATTAATTATAATTGGTTTATAAACATTATTTTAAACATTATGCACTTTGAATAAACGTGCATTAGTAATATTTTGCTCGATGCGCCCTCTTGTGGCCTCAGAAAAGAACCCAAAGGCTTTTCTTCACCCGAACTGAAATTTGATAATATTTAAGTACAAATTTCGAATTTAGTTTTTCAGCCATTTTGACAGCCCTAATGTTAACCAAAGCAAACCTGAGTTAAAAACTTTAAAAGCTCAGCAACCATGGCATTTTAGCTTGCTTCTACAAGTGTTTGCATGTTTTCTTGATGCATCGAATGCATCGAT